GGTCATACATATAGGTTCTTTGGCTTCTCCATTTCCTGTACTACTCTTAACCTCCCCCTGCCTATTTTGTACCTACTATTTATGCTGCTTATTCCCTGTACCTTTTCCCCCATTCTTCCCTCTTACCCTCCGTTCTGTTATACTGTTCATAGTTTTTGGTCTTCTTTTTCTTAGATAAATCCCTTTAACATTTCATATAATAAGGGCTTGGTGATGATGAACTCCTTTAACTTGACCTAATCTGGGCAGCACTTTATCTGCCCTTCCATTCTAAATGATAACTTTGCTGGGTAGAGTAATCTTAGATGTAGGTCCTTACCTTTCATGACTTTGAATACGTCTTGCCAGCCCCTTCTTGCCTTTAAGGTTTCTTTTGAGAAATCAGCTGCTAGTCTTATGGTAACTCCTTTGTAGGTAACTGTATTCTTTTCTCTTTTTTGCTGCTTTTAAGATTCTCTCCTTATGTTTAATCTCAGGTAATTTAATTATGATGTGTCTTGGTGTGTTCCTCTTAGGGTCCAACCTGTTTGGGACTCTCCGAGATTCCTGGACTTGGATGTCTCTTTCCTTCACCAGATGGGGGAACTTTTCTTTCATTATTTTTTCTTTTTTTAAACGATTTTATTTATTTATTTTTAGAGAGGGGAAGGGAGGGAGAGAGGGAGAGAAACATCAATATGTGGTTGCCTCGTGTGCACCCCTCACTGGGGGAAACTGGCCTGCAACCCAGGCATGTGCCCTGACTGGGAATCAAACCAGTGACCATTTGGTTCACAGGCCAGCACACAATCCACTGAACCACACCAGCCAGGGCTTCTTTCATTATTTTTTCAAATAAGTTTCAGTTTCTTGCTCTTTCTCTTCTCCTTCTGGCACCCCTAAGATTTGGATGTTAGAATATTTAAACTTGCCCCAAAGGTTCCTAAGCCTCTCCTCATTTTTTTTGAATTCCTATTTCTTCATTCTGTTTTGGTTGAGTGTTTATTTCTTCCTTTTGTTCCAAATTGTTGATTTGAGTCCCTGATTCCTTCCCTTCACTCTTGGTTCCCTGTATATTTTTCTTTATTTCCCTTTGTATAACTTTCATTTCTTTTTCTATTTTGCGACCATGCTCTGTTTTTTCTGTGAGCATCCTGATTACCAGTGTTTTGAACTGTGCATCTGATAGGCTGTCTATCTCCTCATTGCTTAGTTCTTTTTCTGGAGTTTTGATCTGTTCTTTCATTTGGGCCATATTTCTTTGACTTGGTGCACCAGTTACATTGTAAAGGGTGGAGCCTTTGGTATTCACCAGAGTGGGGCAACCCACCTCAGTGTGTTGTGGCACTGTATATGGGGGAGGGGTCAGAGAAGGAACAATGCTGCTTGTTCAGCTCTCGTCCCCCTTTCATTCACTTCCCCCACTGCTCACAAATGAACCCTTCTGGTGCTGATTACCAGGTGGGCAGGCTTGTCTATGTTCTAGGATCCCTTGGGCTTCTCCAATGGACTCTCCTGTTGGACTGGCAGTTTCTCCCACCACTGCAACCTCCATAGGTTTTCACAAGTAGAGGTGTTGAGCCTTTAGTTTCCCACACTGGAACCCTGGGTTGCATGGTCTGTCTTGCTCCCCAGTTGTTCATCCCAGTTTATCCACACATGAATGTTGGACTACCTGGTCTGCCAGCCACCACCTTGCACGTCCTCATGCCCTGGCTGCCCATCTCTGTCCCTACTACCAGTATGGATGAATATTTTTTTAACTTCCTTGTTGTCAGACTTCCATACAATTCGATTTTCTGGCAGTTCTGGCTGATTTTTGTTTTTAAATTGGTTGTTACCCTTCTTTTGGTTGTGTGAGGAAGTGAATTGTATCTACTGACACCTCCATCTTGGCTGGATTTCAGTCATTTTATTTTGTAACTGATGGCTTAAATGAAGTTAACCACAAGAGCCAGAAGAAACTGGGATGGGACAAAGTTAAAGGATACATTAATAGATTGGCAACAGGTAGTAGTAGTAGATTGCCTGAAGGTCTTGTGGAAGTTTGAAACAGGGTTCTTGGGATAGAGAGGAAAAACAGAGCTTATAATCAGAGAGGAATTTTAGAGGCTGTATAAAATTTGGTAAAGCTTCAGCACAGGGCCATGCGTCTATTTTACTGAAGTGAAATAGCGTAACAGCCAAGATCATTGTATTAAAGTAGGGTAAGAAAACAATCATTCCTTGAAATATTTATTGATTACTCAAGCATTTATCTATGCTACAAGTTGCAGAAATATTGGTGAACAAGATGAATAAGATTCTTACTTTTATGGAGCTTACAACTAGAGAATTGTACAGAGGCCAGATTATGCAAGGCCTTGGAGTCTTCTTAAGAAATTTAAGTTTTGTTTGGATTTTGTTATAAATGTGGTGAGAAACCATTGGTGGATTTTATACAGGGGAATGACCTAATCTTATTTCTGTTTTGAAAAGGTTATTCTGTCTTTATGTTGAGAATGTATCATGGAAATAAGAGTAGAAGTGGGAGACCAGTTAAGAAGATATTGAAGTAGTTCAGGCGAGTTGATAGTGTCTTAGATAAAGGTGATGACAATGGAGATGAAAAATGGCAGACCTGTATATATTTTGAAGATAGAGCTGACTGTACTTGATAATGGATTTAATATTGGAGGTGAGATGAAGTAAGGGATTTAGGATAACTCATCATTTATAGAGATAAATGTTGGGATGGAAGGAGCACATTTTGATTGATGTTGATTTTATGTTGGATATGTTGAGTTTGAGGAATTTGTGGATGTGTTTAGTAGGCAAGTTGACTGTGTTGGTATAATGCTCAGAAGAATGGGCTGGATCCTTTCATTTGGGAGTCATAAATGCAAAGACAGTTCACTGAAATCATGAGAATATGTAAGATTGTATAGGAGAGGAGAGGATGGAGAGTGAGAAAAAAATTAGGCCTCCAGCAGAGCTGACAACACTGACTCCTGAGAGGCTTCGAGTAGGCAGAATTCATTCTACCAATAGTGTGCCAGCAAAGATCACTCATGAGTTCATGCTCCCTCAGATCCTATGGATATCTTTTAGTCCTTATCTTTCTGAACTCACTACTGCATTGTGATACTATTGTTCACTTCCTGTGAAACTACTTTCGAGGTTTTCCATTCTTCCCTATATGTTTCCTTTACTGTTTTTGTTCACCTTAAACTTTGTTGTTCCCCAAGGAAGACCAAAGAGTTAGACTTTATGTTGGACTGTCAGGAAGGGCTTCTGGAGCCACATCTTCTCCAGAATCAAGAAGCTGTTTGCAAATTTTGGAAGCTGCTGGTTCCAGAACTTTATGGAGTTGAGGGAGAATTCCAGACAGAGTGAAGAGCAGGTACAAAGGCCCTAAGATATGAATATGCTTGAAGTATTTGAAGAACAGGAAAGAAACCCATGTAGCTGGAGTAGAATGATCAAGGGAACAGCAATAAGAAACAAGGTTATGGCCCTGGCTGGTGTGGTTCAATGGATTGAGTGCTGGCCTGCAAACCAGGGGGTCTTCCATTTGGTTCCCAGTTGGGGCACATGCCTGGGTTGCAGGCAGGTCCCAGTGGCGGGGGGTGTGGGAGGCAGCCACACTTTGATGTTTCTCTCCCTCTCTTCTCCCTCCCTTCCCTGCTGTCTAAACATACATACATATATAAATAAATAAACAAATAAATAATTTAAAAAGAAACAAGGTTACAGATGTTATGGGATGAAAATAGAATTCATTTCTAAGGGTTCTTCTAAATGCCATTGGGAGGACTTTGTTTTTTAAGCTAAGTAAAATGGATTGAGGGGGACTAGAGTGGAAGCAGAGAGACCAGCTATCACAATAATGCAGGCAACAAATGATAGTGGCCAGGACTAGCATGGTAGCAGTGAAAACGTTGAAAAGCTGTCAGATTCTGGTTATAGTTTTAAGGTAGAACAAGCATAACATCCAGATAGATAAAATGTGAACTGTGAAAGAGAGGAGACTAGGATGACTCCAAGGTTCTTGGCAAGAGTATATGGAAGGATGAGAAGGGGAAGGCTATGGGAGAAACAGGTTTGGGGAGGATGATTAGACGCTTGGTTTGGGACATGTTAAATGTCTAATACCTAATAAACATTCAAATAGAAATGTTGGATAGAACAGTTGGTTATAAAGGTCTGGAGTCCAAAGAGACTAGCTGGAGATATAAATTTAGAATTCATTGCCTTAACGATGGTATTTACAGGCATGGGACTGAATGAAGTTGCCAAGGGAATTAATGTAACAAGACAAAATGATCAAGCCCTGGGGACTGTTTTAAGGAGAATGGAGTCAAAAACTATATTAAATGCTGTTGCATCATTGCTTTTCCCTCTCTTCCTTTCTTCCTCCCTTTCACTTGTGACTATGAACATAATAAAGCTGTGCATAACTCAATCTACTTATGCTCAAAGTCAGAATCAAGTATCTTTTCTTCTCTTACCCCCCTCTAAATATGCACTATAAACCCTAGGCAGTATTCTGAACTATTATGTTCCAATCTGGGCCCCACACTGCAAGTGATACTGAGGAAAAAAGCATACCATAGTAGGACTTTAAAAAGCTGAGGCAATTTGGCCTGGAGAAAAGAAGACTTTCCAGGGAAGACAATAGTTATAATCAGCTACGTAGTGTCAGAATTAAAATCCTTGATTAAAAACTGCAATGTTTGTGATTTAGACTTGACAGAACTTTTCCAAAAGTGGCACGAGATTCCCAGGTGGTAGTGAGTTCTTTGTGACTTTTAACATTATGATCACTCCATTTTCAAAAATCATATTCTCTTTCTGGCTTTGAGATACCGGTAAATACTGTGGTGCATAGTATATGTCATATCTAATTGATATCCGTGGTAGTGGTGGCTACACTGTAGTGACAGATTCTGGAAACAGCTACAACACACACTTAGAATCTCACAGTCACATAATCAACCATTTTACTAAATACAAGCATATTTTCATTCACATACAGCTAAAGAAAACATTTTTTTCACATTTCATTACAGTGCACAATAAAGTGAGGAAAAGTATACAGTACATTTTATTCTGGAATATGAGACAGTCTATTCCAACATGCAGTTGTGGTCTTTGTTACAAGTTAATCTTTTCTTTACTTATGTAGTAAAATAGCTTCTAAAGCTTTATCCTTAGTATTGTATTAACACCTGATTTTTTCACACTTATTTTCTAAAACCCACTTATTGCAGTGACAACAGCACTGAATTCTACTAAATTGATTTTTAAAGTTTCTAGCACTTGTTTAAGCAATTAAGCTCAGCCACCTTCGCTGGATCTATGCTGAGTATTTTTAAACCTGCCTAAAAATGCAAGGAGTGGGAAAAGTATACATATAGTGTATTTTAGTCAAAAAACTGTAGAGAAGTTTTGTTTTTATCTTTGTTTTTTGATCTGACAGAATCCAGTCAACTCTCATCTATCCACTGGATAATCTTGCTTTCAGAATCTCTTAAACATAATTAAGTATAGTAGTTGATAAACTTTGTATTAACCCAATTTACCATCTTTTGTCTTCTACAATCACAAAACTGTTAACTACTCTACCCAAGCCTGGTCATGTTAAACAAATGTAGAGGTCACGATTGGTTCACTTGTAGTTGATGCTGCGGGTTGGTCCAAGAAGGTTTGTTTCCATGTATTCATGATTTGGCTTCTTTATTCCGGCTGAAGTAAATGCCCACATTTACAAATTCAATCACATTTATAATGAAGTTTAACACGATATCTCAAAGCAATTTACCATTCTTAGGCTTTCCTATCACAATGAATATGAGAAATCTGACTCTAATCAGAATTTTCTTACTGTGAAAAGTATGGCTTTTGCCTAGCTGAACTGGCTACAATTCAAAAAATAACTTAATGCATCACCTCTCTTCAAGAAGGTAATGGAACCTCGAGCCAACCGTTCCAATTTTCAGATGCAGTTATCTGTCTGTTCACCTGAGAGTTAAGAGCTGACTTTCTAGGGTAGACAGGGACCTAGTATAGGTATATGGCAAACAGGTGGCCAAGGTCATTGTGAAGTGAATATTTTATCCCCATCCTTCTTCCCACTGCTGTATTTGGTTCCTTTCAATAATATGTCCACTGTGTTTCAGTGATAAGAACACTTCTAGCATACACAGTTCTAATGTATTTTGAGTTGTGCAATTATTCACTTGTTTAAAGCCTTTTCTTGTCAATAATAACACCTGAATGGACTTTACCTTAATTCATCCCTAGCTTCCCTTAGCATTATAGTTGAGTTGTAATCAATAAGGAAACATATCCTAACATGTAGAGAACATTTATTTACAGTCACATCTCTTTCAAAGTGAACGAATTAGTAACAGTTCCTTCATCTGATAGCAAGACAATGCAGTGAAACAAGAACTAGGAGTCAGGAGACCTTCACCTTGGTCAAGTGAATCTCCTGCCTCTTAGTTTACTTTCGTAAAATGAGGTCTTGGCTGGTGTGGCTTAGTGGACTGAGCACTGGCCTGCGAACCTAAAGGGTCTCTGGTTCTATTCCCAGTTGGGGCACATGCCTGGGTTGCGGGTTAGGTTCCCAGCTGGGGGCGTGTGAGAGGCAAGCACACGTTGGTATTCCTCTCCCTTTTTTTCTCCCTCCTTTTCTCTAAAAATAAATAAAATCTTTAAAAAAAGTAAAATGGGGACAAAAACCTCACAAGCCTGTTAATGCTGACTAAATAAATAATTCAAGTGACTGTAATGTGTTTGTAAGAGTTATAGTGCCTCCTCTTGAGAGAAGGTACTCAGTACAGGATTGATGAGTGAGTGCCTCTCTTTTCAGAGGCAATCCCTGTGTTGTTGCCATGACCTGAAGAAACAGCCATGTCATTTACTTCTAGACTGCAGTTGCCAATGAAGTGAAACCCCAGGCATGGTCAGAGGGGAAAGAGGTTATGGCATTTGGGTCAGTGTTTCTCTCTTCTACTTACAAGGTATTTTTCATGGGACAATTTCTTTCACACAGCTGGTTATTCTTTCACAAAGGTGTACATTGTCTCCAATGTGGTAATAACAGCGTGTAAATAGCCTCCCTTTTCATAGTCACATGATTTTTACTAGAACACCAGGCCTTGAAAGGGTCTTAGTAAAGAGCTGGTCCACACCCTTCATTTTACAGACGAGCTATTTAGAAGCTAATTGGTACATTTTAACCAAACCCAGCACACACACTTGGTATAGGATAATCTCACAAAGTAACATGGTCTCAGTTTTTTAGTTTTGCTAATTATTCCCAATGATATACTTTTTTCCCCCTTACATATGTCTTTATGTTCATGACCAATGAATGAGCTGAAATACCAAGAAATAGTTGTTTTGTCTGTGGGTGTATTTTCCTGGGGCCTCGCTCCCCAAACCTCAGGCTCTTGACGTGTGGCTTACAGAGGGCACACGGAATAGCCACTGCCCAGCATGGGCCACAAAACAGTGCTTGGCCCATGCCAGTAATGTAGTCCCTCAGTCACAGCACCCAGGCTCCCCCATCCATCTGCCCACAGCCTGTCAGAGTACCCCTTGGGAAGGAGGTCCACTTGGTATCCAAAATGAAGGCTGGGTTCTCTTCAGTGACACAAGGATTCTATTCATTTCGATCACTTTTAGGTTCAGATGGGAGAGCATGTTTTAGAAATAAAAAGGCCTGACTAGCACAAACATCTCCGCTCTGATTTGACAACCTCTTCTGAAGAGTGAACCACATTTGGTACAAATCCACTCTTCACCCCTTCCCAGCCCTCCTGGATTGTAATATCCCCCCTTTTAACCAGCTCATATATGTCTTTTGTCAGGTCTGTGAAGGCTTTCTCCACATTAATGGCATCTCGGGCTGATGTTTCAATGTACTTCATGCCATACGCAGCAGCCAGTTTCTCTGCCTCATGGCGAGTCACTTGCCTCTGTGTATCCAGGTCACACTTGTGACCCACCAGAACAAAGACAATTTGGTAGGGCTGAACATGTACTTTGGTCTCTTCTAACCACTCATGGACATTCTGGAAGGACCTGCGGTTGGTAATGTCAAATAAGAGAAGACCACCTACTGAGTTCCTGTAGTAGGCTCGAGTGATGGATCTAAAAGAAAGAAGGAAAGAATAAAGGTCATGCCCCAAATCCTGAATGTACTTCAATGAACTCAGTGTATTCTAGTGTTTCTGGTTACTGATATAGTTCTTTAGTAAAAATGATTTTCTTTTTTTTTTAACAACAGAATACAAATGTCATCACATAATCATAATGATATGTGAATTTTCAATTGGGTGAAAGTTTAAAATGACATTTTCTAGAAATGAATGCTCATGGACTTACAGGCATTTTCCCTTGATTCAGGTAGAACCACAGCTAACTCTTTCTCCCCTACAGCTGAATAACTGAATGAGACTTCCTGTTCTGCAAAATAAGATACCTAAGTCACAGGTTATCATGATGCAAAAGGAAATAATGGATGTCAGAGTGTTCTGTGACTTGGAGAGCTCATTATAAATTCTAGTAGTTGAAACAGAATTTTTAAAAAGACAAATTTATGGTCGTTGACAGAAAATGCTTGTAAGTATATAGGTATATTGTAATATACTCCATTTTCCTCCAATTATCATTTGCATATTTGTCTTTCTATTATTCCATTATTATTTTAATCTAACAGGGGTCCTCAATCTTATGTGAGGAGAAACACAATTTCATTTTTATTTTCCAGGCCAATGGGAACAGGAGAAAGAGAGATGGCCTGCAAAGGCCTTAGCAAAGGCCTATCAGCCATATTTCCTGACACATTTCAGAGAGGCTGAATAAAGAGCCACCAGTTGGGAAAAACTGCCTCAGTCACCAAAGCTTCCCCTTAAAATGACATGATTTATTTAAAGCAGTATAATTAGAATATTTCTAATTACAGTATTTTAAAAAATATATAAATTTGCTGTACTTCTTAAACAGAAGAAACCTCATCTTTTTAAATATTTTATTTATGTTTTATTTTAGAGAGAGGGGAAGGGAGGGAGAAAGAGAGGGAGAGAAACATCAATGTGTGAGAGAAACCGGTTGCCTTCTGTATGACCTGCGCTGCAACCCAGGCATGTGCCCTGGCAGGGAATTTAACCAGTGACCTTTGGGTTTGCAGGTCGGCATTCAATACATTGAGACACACCAGCCAGGGCCACGCTTCATCTTTTTAATTTCTTGATTTGAAGAACTTCATTATCAATATACATTATAAAACTTTGCTTAGAGCATTTTTGAGCTTAGGATTATTTGCTTCTGCAACCACTTGCTTTAGACTACTAGGCTTTTTGATCTATGCCTATTTTTAGGTTTTCTGTCTCCTTGGATGAAGAAGATAAAAATGAGGGCTGAATAGTTAAGGCTTAAGGCAAATGGCTTAATGGTAACAGAATAAACATTGTCCAGAGGGTTAAAGTCCAAACTAAATGATGGGAAGAGCAAACCAAATTCAAGTCTTTAGAACTGGACAAATGAGCCCTAGGAAATGAAAACAGTTCTAATTCTCTTAGGTTTGAAGATTCACGGATACATGATCAGAGATTTCGGTTTGTGAACAGCTTGTTTCAAGACATCAATAAGAAAGCTGTAGATGCCTTTCAAAACTCTAAAATACATTATTACATTAGTATTAGAGTGTAACAAAATGAGTATGTAGAAAGGAACAAAACCCTTTCTAAGCACAACATAAAGCTGCATAAAAATTAAAACCTTCAGTCCATCAAAACATTTTCTTGCCCTGGCTGGTGTGGCTCAGTTGGTTGGGCGTCGTTCTGAAAACCCAAGGGCTGCAGGTTCAGTTCCCAGTCAGGGTACATGCCTGGGTTGTGGATTCTGTCCCTGTTAGGGCTACTTGCAAAAGTCAACCAATGTTTCTCTCTTACATGGATGTTTCTCTCCCTCTCTTTCTCCCTTCCTCCCCCTCTCTCTAAAAAACAATCAGTGAGCCCTGGCTGGTGTGGCTTAGTGGATTGAGCACCCGCGTGCGAACCAAACGGTCGCTGGTTGGATTCCCAGTCAGGGCACAGGCCTGGGTTGCAGGCCAGTCCCCAGTAGGGGACATGCAAGAGGCAACAACACATTGATGTTTCTCTCTCTTTCTCCCTCGGTTACCCTCTCTCTAAAAATAAATAAAAATAAATAAAATCTTTTAAAAAATCAATGAGCATATCTTTAGGTGAGGATAAAAAAAATTCTTGAACAAAGTTCAAAGACAAATGAAAAACTGGGAAAATATTTTATACCACACATGCTAGAAAAAGGGTAAATATTCCTAATCTAAAAAAAAAAAACTCTTACAAATTGATATCACCCAATAATAATAAGCAGTGGATATGAAAAGGCTTTTCATACAGATATTCCAATAAATATAAAAAAGACACCTTTTTTTCAATTATAAGAAATGTATTCACAAGTTCAAAGTGAACTTGTACAAGGATATTTACCAGTAGTGTTGGTGGAATTGGGGATTTAGAAACAACTTAAGTTTGTAGTTATCTTTTCTCCTTATCTCTCTTCAACTCCCTAACCAGCATCTTCTGTGCTCAATTAGTGTTCACTGGATGAATAAATGATCGTCAGCATAGGCTATTGAGTCCTTTTGATCTAGTTCCTGATGCTCTATGTGACTTCAGCTCAAGTTGCTCTCTCAAAGTTTTCTGTGTACATTGCTCTCTCTCACTTTTTTCTTTACATATGCTGTTTCCTCTCCCTGGGCTTTTTTTCTGTCATACTCATCAGGCATCATATTCTCCAGGTAGTCTTTCTCCCTTTGTATATATTATACATATATTTACAAATGATACATATTACAAAGGAAAAAACAAAGGGTTGTATGAGAAAATTAAACCCGTTCATTGATTACACATTATATGCTAGGATTTATACTAGGGAGTGGGCATACATATATAAACAAGACTCTCCTTTGTTTAATTGCTGATCTATTCCCCACCCCATCCACTATGCTAGCACAGAAGTTTTAAATAGGAAGGGCCTGTATCTGTTTTGTTTACATGACATCCTCTTGTGTAACTTTCCTTAGAAACAAGCCCGATGTCTGGAATGGAGTGGATGATCACTGAATAAGTGTTGGTTGCCAGGGGGAATCAATCATCAGTATCTATTTCATATATATATATATATATATATATATATATATATATATATATATATATATAACGTAATACATCTATATCTGTACTTATGTCTATCTTTATATCATGTATGTCGATATATGTTGGGATGACCTGGTCCCATTTTAAAAAGTATGTAGCGTAAGGACTGAGATTGATGAATTACAGTGATCAGTTTCTACTGGTTAGCCACCGAGGAGCAGGTTGGTGGAGTTGCGGTGCAAGCAATGTGTGTTATTGACCGGCCTTTCCTGCCAGGGCTCATCTTTCCCTGCACGGAACTCCCAGCTAGCAGAAGGTGGGCTTAAGCAAAAATCCCCAGACCTTTGGTATCCCTACGAGCGGGCCGCGACCAGGACCAGGAAGTCCTCTTTCCCCAGGGGCTGTGTAAGCTCCGAAGACCCTCCCACTGTTTGCGGGCCCGGACTGCGCTCCCACCTGAACCTCTCTTGACCCGCGGTATCCCAGATCTGGAGCTTGATGCGTTTTCCTGGCTCGATCTCCACCAGACGGGAGAAAAAATCCACCCCCACGGTGGGGTCCGAAACCTGGGCAAAGCGGCCCTCAGTGAAGCGGCGGATCAGACAGGACTTGCCCACCGTTGAATCCCCGATGACAATGAGCCGGAACTGGTACAGCCAGATGGCCTCCATGGCCCGGGCTCCGCAGGTCTTATCCCTGGCCCTGTGCGGCGAGAGGGGTCGTCCCGCCAAGGCCTCGGAGAGTGCGGCTCGGTCTGGATCTAGATCCGTTGCGAGCACATCGCTTGGGAAGCCGGAGGCGAGGTAGGCCCAGGCGCAAGGAGAGCGGAGGGATGGATGCTGCGCTCACAGAGGTGATGAAATGGCAGCAGCATCAGCACCACGCACTCTGACTCATCACCGACAACCGGGTTACTGTAATCCCCCGCGTAGACGCGTCGCCTGGAGCCGCCGCACTGTCTGTAAAAGGAGCGCACACAGAAACGACTGAAAACCGTTGTTCCCTTCTCTAATTTCTCCACCCACCCCTTCTTCTTAATGTTATCTGTCAAATTGCAAAAGTAATATCTCTTATTAAAACTAGGGAAACAATACAAAAATGTACACAAAAAAGAAAGTCCATAATTATCTGTGCCCCTCCCTTCCCAAGATATTTAACAGCTTGTTATATATTCTTCCACATGGATTTCCTGCAAAATATGTATGTATATAGGTACATGTACATATATAATAAAACATATACATATATGCATTTGTTGCTTTTTGATTTTATAACAATGGGATCAAATTGGACCAATACTCTGACAGTCGCTTTTTACAATTAACAAAGAATCACAGACATCTCTCCATTTGCAACTAATCTTTCTTTTGTCATGACAGTGCTGCAATAAACATTCTCTTAAGTATAGTAATACATTATTTCCTTGAGATGGAGTCTTAGAAGAGGGCTTAGGAAGTCAAAGAGTATGAGCATTTTAAATGTAGTGGATATAGGCATTATATGCAATTTGCAAAAATATTTACTAATTTAAATTCTAGTCAGCAATTTGTGAAAAGACCGGTTTTTGCATGATTTCATTATCATATGCCATATTCTCTCGTAATTCTTGCCAATCTGTTGTAATTAAACAAAAAGGTATCTCTGCTTTATTTTACATTTCCCTGACTACTAATGAGATCAACACCATGTCTGGTGCATTGGCCATTTGTATTTCCTTTTCTGGGAATTGCCTCCTCAAGTCCTTTTTATTTTTTTCTGTGTAATCTTTCATCATTGCTATCATTGCTTTACTCACTTTTGTTTTTTAAAACAGTTTTATTTATATATAATTCACATATCATATAATTTGCTCACTTAAAATGTACAATTCAATAATTTTTAGTATAGTCAGAGTTTTGCGAATCATCACCACAAATTTAAAATATTTTAATCACCTTAAAAAGAAGCTCCTACATTTAAGCCAACATCCTCTGTCCCATTTCCTTTCTAGGCAACCATTAATCTACTTTCTGTCTCTGTACATTTCCCTATTTTGGACACTGATATAAATGTAATCATACAATATGTGTTTTTTTTGTCTGGCTCCTTTCACTTATTGTGATGTTTTCAAGGTTCATTCACGTTGTAGCATGAATCAGTCACTTCATCCCTTTTTCATGGCTGAGTAATATTCCATTGTGTGAATAGACAACATTGTATTTATCCAGTCATTAGAATGGTGGACATTTGGGTTGTTTCTAATTTTTAGTTATTCTGTATAATGCTGTTATAAATATTTGTGTACAAGTTTTTGTTTGAACATATTCTTTGAACTCTGTTGGGTTTAAACCTAAGAGTGGAATTCCTGGTCCTATGGCAACTTTATGTTAAATCCTTTGAGGAAATTCCAGACTGCTTTTCACAGTGACTGCACAATTTACCTTCCTACCACCAGTGTATGAAGGTTTTGATTTCTCCATATCTCCTCCAACACTTTATTTTCTGACTTTTTGATTTTAGAAATCTTAGTGGATATGAACTATTATCTCATGGTCATTTTGATTTGAATCTCCCTGTGACTAAGGACAATGTGAATATTTTTACATTCTTATTGGCCATTTGTATATCTTCCTTGGAGAAATGTAGACTCAGATCCTTTGTCCAATTTTAACTGTATTATTTGTCTTAATATTATAGAGTTGTAAGAGTTCTTTATATATTTTATGTGTATGTCTTTTTTCAGATATATGATTTATAAATAATTTCTCCCATTCTGTGTGGGTTTTTTTGTACTTTCTTGAGGGTGTCCTTTAAATTTTGATGGCCCAGGCTCTGCAGGTCTTATCCCTGTCCCTGTACAGTGAGATGGGTAATCCCGCCAAGGAAACAAAGTTTTAAATTTTGAAGAGGTAGAAATTATCTATTTTTTCTTTTGTTGCTTATGCCTCTGGTGTCAAGTCTAAAATACTTTGCCAAATCCAAGATCATTAAAGTTTATTCCTATATTTTCTTCTATGAAGTTTTTAGGTTTATCTTATACATTTAGGTCTATAATCTATTTTTAATTAAGTTTATTGGTGTGACAGTGGTTAATAAAATTATATAGATTTCAAGTGTACATTATGATACATTACCTGTATATTGCATTGTGTGCCCACCACCAAAATTCGAATCTTCTGTCACCATATATTTGACCCCCTTTGTTCTTTACTACCTCCCCCTACCCCATTCCCTCTGGTAACCACCATACCATTGTCTGTGTCTATGTTTTGGTTTGTTTTTCTTCTTAGTTTGTTTGTTGCTTTCAGTTTTATATCACACATATGAGTGAAATCATATGGTTTTGACTTTCTCCATCTGACTTATTTCACTTAGAATGATATTCTCAAGATCCATTCATGTTGTTAAAAATGGCAGTATTTTATCTTTCTTATAGCTGAGTATATTTCGTTGTTTATGTGCATCACATCTTCTTTATCCAATCATCTATTGAAAGGTATTTTGGTTGTTTCCATGTCTTGGCTACTGTGAATGATGCTGCAATAAACATATGAGTGCATATATCTTTGTGAATAAATTTTTAATTAATTTTTACATACACTGTAGGGTTACAACTTTATTCTTTTGCATGTGGATATCTGGTTGTCCAAGAACCATTTATTGGACTGATTATTATTATTCTCATTGAATGATTTTGGCACACTTGATGAAAATCAATGTATCATAGACTATGGATTTATTTCTGGACTCTTGATTTTAATTTTATTGGTCTGTATGTCTAGTCCAGTACCACATGGTCTTGACTGTTGTAGCTTTGTAGTAAGTTTTGAAATTAGGAAATGTGAGTTCTCCTATTGTTTCTTTCCCAAGATTATTTTGAATATTTGGGACTCTACAATTTCATATAAATTTAAAAATCAACTTGTCAATTTCCATTAATAAAGCAACTGGACTATTGATTGGGATTTCATTGAATATGTAGATCAATTTGGGGACTATTGTCATCTTAATAAAATTAATTCTTCCAATGTTTGAACATAGGATATCTTTCCATATATTTAGGTCATTCAAAATTTCAGTAATGTTGTATAGTTTTTAGTGAACAAGGCTTACACTCATTTGGCTAACTTATTCCTAAATATTTTATTCTTTTTGATGCTATTGTGAATGGCCTTTTGACCCAGGAATTCCACTGTTGAGATTATACCCTAAGAATCCTGAAATACCAATTCAAAAGAACCTTTGTACCCCAATGTTCATAGCAGTGCAACTTACAATAAAAAGTACTGGACACAACATAAGTGCCCATCAGTAAATGAGAGGATCAAAAAAACTGTGGTACATTTACACAATGGAATATTATGCATCAGAAAGAAAGAAGGAACTCCTACCCTTTGCAACAACATGGATGGAACTGGAGAGCATTATGCTAAGTGAAATAAGCCAGGCGATGAAAGACAAATACCATATGATCTCACCTATAAGTGAAACGTAATCAAAGAACAAACAAGCAAGCAAAATAGAACCAGAGATATGGAAATAAAGAACAAACTGACAGTTACCAGAAGGGAGGGGGAAGGGGATTAAGGGGGAAAGAAGGGGAAGGGTCATTAAAGAACATGTATAAAGGACCCACGGACAAAGATAACTGAGGTGGGGAGGATTGAATGTGGGAGGTGGGGGTGGGTAGGGTGGAGGAGAGTAATGGGGGAAAATAAGGACAACAGTAATTGCACACTAAAAAATAAAAATAAAATGAAATTTTAAAGGATTTAAAATGTTGCAGAATTGTTTTCTAAATTTTATTTTTGAACTGCTCATTGCAAGTGTATAAAATGCAATTGATTTTTCTTTTTTATTGTATTTTTCCATTACCATTTGTCCCCCTTATATACCCTCCTGTAATCACCACACTGTTGTCCATGTCCATGAGTCCTTTTTCCTTTTCACTTGATCCCTCTACCTGCTAACCACAGCCCCCAGAGGTTCAGCCTGAGCTCTAGCTATGCGTCTGTCTCTATTTTGCTTGTTAGTTCACTTTGTTTTTTAGATTCCACATATGAGTGAAATCATTTGCTACAATATTTGCCTCTCTCTGACTGGCTTATTTCACTTAGCATAATGTTCTTCAGATCCATCCATACTGTTGCAAAGGATAAAGTTTTCTTCTTCATTTTCTTTTCTTTTTTTTTTTTTTTTTTACGGCCGAGTAGAATTCCATTGTGTAAATGTCCCATAGTTGTTTTATCCACTCACCTATTGATGGACACTTGGGCTGTTTCTATATCTTGGTGACTGTAAATAATGCTGTAATGAACATAGGAACACTTACATTATTTCAAATTAGTGTTTTGGATTTCTTCATATATATTCCCAGAAGTGGGATTGCTGGGTCCAAAGGCGGATCCATTTTTAATTTTTTGAGGTAGCTCTATACTGCTTTCCACAGTGGCTGTACCAGCCTGCATTCCCACCAACAATGCAAAAGGATTCCCCTTTCTCCGCATCCTCAGCACTTTTGTTTTTTGATTAATTGATGATAGATATTCTGACAGGTGTGAGATGATATTTCCTCATGGTTTTTTAAATATATGTTTTATTGATTACGTTATTACAGTTGTCCCATTTTTTTCTCCCCTTCATTCTCCTCCACCCTGTACTGCCCCTCCCCTCCCCTTAGTTCATGTCTGCAGGTCATATATATAAGTTCTTTGGCTTCTCCATTTCCTATACTATTCTTAACCTCTCCCTGCCTATTTTGCACCTACTATTTATGCTTCTTATTCCCTGTACCTTTTCCCCCATTCTTCCCCCCGCCCCTCCCCCTGATCTCCATTTCTATGATTCTGTTCCTGTTATAGTTGATTG